CACCAAACCCTACCAAATCCAGCGGCTTATTTTTAAATTTGATAAAATTCAACACTAGTTTCGGACAGAACAGATAAAACTGGTTATGTCTGACACAAAAGTTTGCTAAAGTTTAGGGTTTTAAATATCAAAAATATGCAACCTTTGGGACATAGTCGCAGGATTTGGTGCATCCCCCTGCATATATATATATATATCTACCCTTCAAAAAAATGTAAAAGGCACTGGAACTCATGCGTTACACGGTAAAAAAAACGTTTTGCCATTTATAGTTTATTCACTGTAAGTAAACAAAGCATTGACTGGAAGTGCATGCTTTATGTACATGAAGTGCATCATTATCACAAAATCGACTTTTTATACGCTGAACAGAATTAGTCCAAACTTTTTTTCTGAATAGCTTATTGAATGGATGTACGGGCAGCAAAGTATCTCTTTATTTAAATCACTTTTCGCATTTTGGCGCGAATAGTGGCGCGTTTAAAGTTATTCAGAAAAAAATTTGGACCGATTCTGTTCAGCGTATAAAAAGTCGATTTTGCGATAATGATTGGCGTCAAATATTTTCGTATACCTGTGCAGTCTCGAAGTTGTTTTTCCTTCCTTTTGATCAAATAACATTTACAAAAAATTTGTAATGTACAGTTATCAGTCAATCATGTAATTCATATCTGTCTTAACTTTGTTCTTCCTCAAAAACGAACACGCAAAAAGATACACTCTTTCCATTTTCACCGCTTTTGTTTTTTAAGTAAAAATGTGGGGTTAAATTACTCACAATTAGTTGGGAATTTCTTGAATGTAGATGATCATACATTTACTAACGAGTTCGCGAATGATAGGACAACAGTTTCCACAAAACTTTGCTGTAATAATAATTTTTTACTACATAATGTTGAATACTCTCGTTTTTCTAAAATATGACTCATATAAAAAAATTGATAACAATCGGTAAAATAGATTTGTATCGTGCAATTCTAAACGGCTGTCATGAGAATCAGCGACAAATTCAAAAAAATTTCAGACATAAAGGTTGAAGATTATCGCATGTACCACTTAAAAGACCGATGAAGATGATATATTTTTCAACTATAGATGGTTGAACAGTAGTCGGTCATGGTTTCCAAATAAAAACAGTTGTTATAATCTTTTTATTGATTCCACTGTGGGTATTACTAAAAGACGCGAACACCCCCAAATTGAAATCTGGGTCAGCCAATCGACAGGGCTCGTCGAGCTGAGTATAGCAACGCCTAACAAACACCCAAAAAAGGTATTAAGCATATGGGTGAAGACTTACGGAGTGAGCTGAGTTCGGAGCGCTCAGAATTTTTATCTTTAAATCAGAACACATATTTTGATGAGGTGTGTTTCAGCTTGATAAAACTGCATGGCTGATTCAGCTTTCCAGACTGAGCTGATCATCGACTAATATAGCGTAAAGCTAGTTACAATACTAATTTAATATCGCAACATATATAATGTAGTAACAAATAATAGTAATAAATAATTTGTATAAACTCGAAAACTTGAAAAAATGAAGTAGAAAATCAGTAATTCAGAAAGTTTCAGATTAATTCAAGCTCAAACTAAGACTTGCGTAATATCCTTGCTTTTCTAACTAGAGGGCGTTGTGTGTTGATATATCAGTAACAATAGAGAGAATTCAAAAACGAGAAGCAGATTTGGAAATTTTAATTGTCGCTTGGAGTATTTCAAAACTTCCATCAAAACACAACAAAAGTGCACAATTTGTCTCAAGTCATTAGACTATTCGTCTCAAACTTCGTCCGAACTCTGCTCACTATATAGGTCAGCCACTTATGCCATCTATAACTCAGAGTGTGCGAAAGTGTTGATAAAAAGTCGATATCGAAACTTTTGTCTATAATTAATCAAGAAAAATTCAGTCTAAAATTTCATGTGAGGTATTGGTTTGTGCCCTGTGTAAGGGTCGTAGACCTCTACAAAAGAGTATTTTTGAAAACGATCATTTTATTACGCGACTGCGCGCAAAGATCAGAAGGACGTTAAATATCTGCGTATTATTTTCTCCCTCACATACCGTTGGTATAATCATGTGTACGTCGATTTTGTATTATTGTACGATCTTAGAGTGAGTGAAGATGTGCTGGAATCAAGGAATAAGATTTTAATGCTAGAGGACTGAAAGTGAAATTTCTTTTACTAATTTGTCTTTTCTCCTCCAAGAATTAAGTCTTTATTAGAATTGGTCAAGATAAGTTTTCATTAAGCGCTAGTATCACCGTAAATCACATTGATACTGGTGCTTTATGACAGAAATCTTGATAAAACCTTATCTTAGCTATTAGAATTTACTCTTGCTTCGTTTCGGAACCAAAAGTTGTCTTCTATCGAATAACTACATTTCTTTAAAGCTGTTTGAAAAATAACCAGAGATGCCATCTCTAAAGGTCCAAAAAGCGGGCAGCAAAAGCGGACCGGTTTTTTTCACACAAGAGAGAAACATGTTTACATAACAGTACAAAATAAATTAATTTTTTAACAATAACGACATAAAAAATAAATATAGATATTTATTATACACGTTGTTTTTTGAAATTACATTTTTTCACCGACTGAATATCTGTTCAGGTCGCTACCATCTATTCACAGTTAAACTAGACAAGAACTTCTTCGGATGAGCCATCGCGAAGATATTTTCACTAAAAAACGAAATAAAGTGGAGGGAAAAAGTTTAGAGACAAACTAGTTTTTGTTCTTTCTCGTGAACCCTAGTAGGTACAATAAATCTGAAGGTAGTTTCGTACAGTGCTGACTTCGATGTGTGTATATATATTATTCAAAACAGTTCAACTTAACTCTATCCTTACTTTTCAAAAATCCATGATCTCCAAAATTCTACTTTTTAAAAATCTAATGCAAACATTTTTTCCATCATTCAGTGGGATAGAGCAAAGACTTCTCTTCAAAGTGAGGTATCCCGCAGTCTTCAGCAACGTTATGAAAAAAATGAGCTGTGATAGACTGACTGATTATCACTTTGGAGCTTCTAGTATAAAAGTTATAACTCAATGAAAAAAGGTTGCTGGGGACTGCGAGATATCTCATTTTGAAGAGAAGTCTTTGCTCTATCCTACTGAATGATGGTAATTATCGACAAACACTAATGTACCAATTGCTCAAGGTCTCCTTGCTGCAAGTTTAACATGCTCTAGTCAAGGCTCGACGTTCACGTGTACAAAACAGTTAAATGTTTAATTAATTAAATTAAACGCAATTTAACGCAATAATCACGGGATTGCTTCTTGGATTCTCGACTCGGACAATGTGATTATTGAAATGTTGGATTGTACTTAAGAATTGGGAGTCTTTTTACCAGTACAAAACTTGAAAAAAAGAACTTCTGTGATTGTTTCATTCTGTCCTTTCTCAAAGTCGTTTTTTTTGTTTTCCTAAAAATATCTTCGAGAAAGATATATATCTAGCTCCTATACCGTTGATAGAAGTAAGTATCCTTCGTCCTTTTAGGACACCTTTTCCTTGGTAAAGTTGCATGTAAATATCCTATATTAAGAAACTTTATGTAGTTACGCCTAGCGAGCTCATGTATTGTATATTGACATTTTAACGACGAACTTTTAATCATTGTGTAATGAAGCCGATATTTGTCTTTTTTCCAGAAGTAAATTATGCATAAGTACTTGACTTTTTACTTTTTTAGTGATTTAGTTTTAAAGTATTTGTCAAGTGAAAGTGCAAGTATTTTCTCAAAGTACTTCGTAGCAATAAAACTAAGTATTGAAATCTTGGAAAAGTACTTGTAAGAACACATGGCAATTGTGTAATTTTGAAAATACTTGCCATTTTTTCCAAGTACTTAGCAAGTAATTAAGTCACTTTACACTCTACAATTTAGCCATGTGAACAGACGCCAACATGAGAAACAATTTAATTTATTACAAAGTAAAAGAAAGTATAGTATAAAAATTCAATGTTTAAGCTGACAGTATGGTACAGAGAGAACGGATTACACTGGGTAACTATAAATCACCTCAATACCAATCTGATAGATCATTATTACGGCAGCAGCAAGAACTAGTTTCGAATAGTGAAGACAATTTCCAAAATCAAGAACTAACGTCATTTTCGCACAATACTGCGTGGCAGCAAGAAGATGAAAATGTGGACGATTTTATTTTATTTTATTTTCTCTCTATAGTGTATGAATTTTCTCTCCGTTTGGAGTGATTGCATTAGCGAGATCGCTGCAATGTTGTGATACAATAGGGCGTAGTGGCGTGGGCCCTGTTTGCTGGTCTCCATTAGCTAAACATTATTCAAAACAAGCATTTAGATTTGCTTTGATCGGATGTCTTATCGGACTTTATTTTACGCTATACTCTCTCATACGTATACTTCTGACGAGTAAATATCGTTCACACTCAGTAAAATAAAGACAAAGAAAACGATGTAGCTGGTCTTTTTGGCTTAGAAATATTTGAAATAACGCGATAAGACGATGCTAACTTTTTTCTAGTTACTTTCTGAAGCTAATTTTTCATCAACGGTTGATGATCGTAAGTATGTAGTTCTGGCCAATCTCAATAAGATTCGTTGATAGTTTTACTAGAAATTGTAAAAAAATTTGTCTTAGCTCTATAGATCGCATTTGCCTTTATGTATCTGAAATTTTTTTATTTTTACAAAAATTTTAATAGTCAGTTGCGTTTAATCTCAGAATATGCATAGAGAACTATAGATGACGATCACTAATATCTATTTTCTCTTTGTTTGTTCAATTGTTTATGTTATATTTTGTAGACAATGAAGCATGTGTAGGAAATATCTCGTTGTTCTCTTTTTCTTTTCGACTATTAAAGTATGTATTTTGACTATCAGAGTACATATATAGAATTGCTCTTTTCCCTCTCTGCTCTTTTTTCTTTTCTTTACACATTGTACATTCATTCTCTATTTTCTCTTCGAGATGTACGTTCAAGTAAAATGTTCTGCTAAATAGTTGTTTTTGGATTAAAATCATTGTAGTAATAATGACATATTTATTATCAGTTTTGGCAGTTGAATAGTGGTATGTAAACATTTATGTGTTTTACGTATCGTAAACAACACACACGGTTTAATAAGAGAATTCCAAAAAGAATAGTGACAAGGTGCAGTGGTAGAAGTTGATACCATGTTTCTCCATCCTTTATGATTATTCATTTTTTTTAGATTGATTATACACAATGACTTCTTATTATTGACATTATTTAATCTTTTATCTGTTTTTCCTTGTCAATAACACGTTCGAATGCTTCAGACAGACAGCAAAATTTATAAAAAATAGAAAATCGGACTGTTTTAGTCAAGAATTTGAAATTATACTGACGAAAAAGAAAATTAATCATAATTATTCATCACTTGAAATAACATCATATAATAATTGGATATTTTGGTTTCGATTATCTTTTGACCTTCATAGCGGTTACAGTAAAACTGCTAGAATTTGATTTTAAATGTCATATGTTTTAGTGATAGCAAAATGGAATAAAAATGTTGCCTTTTATCAACCGGTAGCTTATGGAGTTTATCTACACATAGGGTTTTTACCAGTTCTGGATCTGATGCTTCGTTTTAGTTTTTGCACTGTTTCTGCAAATAGTCACTCCAGAGATCTGTGGAGAATAAAAGGTTAGGAAGGATAGGGAGATTTTCTGTCTCGCCTCTTTTCAAATAGTTACCAGGAAAAGTAACTTACTGAGATATATGTTAATTTTTTTACTGAGTAACTAACCAACCAGTGTGGATGTGGATCCTACTATTTAAATCGATTTTTCTGAACACTTTAAAACTTTAAATATTGAATAACTAGTGTTGCTTGAGATTAAGGCAAGGAAAAGAATAAAACTTATGTCAATAAGTAATCTATGAGTTTAGTTGAGTGTCTATAGTTACTATACATTAAAAAAAATTATACAATTATTCAAAAAAATGTTTAGTTACCTGCTAATATTTTTCTCCCCTTTGCCAGAGCTATACTGAAAACACTCGTATAGTATAATCTAAGAAAAAATCGAATCCAGTAAATAGTAGATGGATATTTATGTGTCTGCCTATTTCAATTAAACTTAGTTATAATTGAGTTATTACATGAAATTAAAGCAGTCTTAAAAAATGGTTTGCATTATATTAATTCACGAGCGGATAATTTTAGACTATCTAAAAATTTACTATTGAAAACAAAGACGGATAAATTAATTAAAAAATAAAGAGCATTTTTACGTGAACATTATCTTATTAATTTTGTTTAATTAAGCTAAAATTACCTTCGAAAATAAAGTTGTATAATTTCATGAGCAGAAGTATTCAAAATATTCATTAATATAAACGGTAACGCATGATGCATGTTTAATAAAGTTAGAGTGAAGTTATCAGAAATTCATCTGGTAATTTACTCTGATCTAACCATTTATGCTATTCTTGTTCAGCATAAATGTTTGACTTTGTTTTTAATCCACAGATTATTTCATATTATAAGTACAACTATTTTTTTGTTTGATGTTTAAAAATATTATCAGGTATATGTTGAATTAAATATGACTTAAAACAATGTTCAAATCTTATATGTTTCTTGAACTTTTTTGTAATTTATAACGAAATTGTTATTTTTTTTATCATTTTTTTTAATAATATGTTGTTTTTGTTTCTTAACAAACGTATTACAATATATCACTACGTATTTTCTTTCTTTATCCTTTTCAGAGTATACAATACACTTATTCTCTTTTCTACTTTCTGTATTTTGAAAGGTATATTATCGTGAACTATTTAGACAAATGTTCATTTTCTAATCAAAATTACAATAGTGATAATGAAAGTTATTATTAATTTTGGTAATACAAAAGTTGTTGTACCCTGTGGTAATGGTGAAATTGTTGTTAATCAATTAATTAACATTGCAATAGCAAAATACAGCAAAATTTATCGATTAGTAAGTGGTACATTTATATTCCTCTTCTTTTTTCACACCATAAATCATGCGTGTAGTTTAATATGAAAATTGAGAAAAGTTAAAAGTTTTTTTAATGTCATAAACTTGTCTAGTATTACCTTCGTTTCACTTAAATGAATTTTAGTATATATCCATAATTGTATGGTATTTTCAATATTAGATGTGTTAAATTGGATGTACATATAAAAAGAAAATCTAGCATTTTGCTGTTTCATACAAAACAAAAAAAAAAAAAAATGCGAAAAAATTTTCTTCGATTTCTTCGCTAAAGACAAATTGTCAGAGTATTTTATTCAAATTCTCTCTATTCCTCCTGCATGTCAGTTGACATTAAGATGGGTTTTATAGTTTAAAGTTCTATTTCTTACTAAGGTGAATTGACAGGACCTTATGTATATGATTAACAGTTTTTATAACTGAACAAGAATAAAAAATAAGATGATACACATTTGCTATTGACTCATTTATGTACAGCTTATTAATCATAGATAAATATGTGAAAATACAGCCACACCTATCTGTCATTTTAATATACAATGAAAAAAAGCAGTTTAATTAGTTCAGACAAACTCATTCTGTGAAAATGGTTTGGAAACATGAAACAATCATTCCTCTTTTAGGAACATCGTGTCATTTACTCATAAAATGCTATAAATTACCTACATAGTTTTCTATTGTAAGGTTTTTTAAAGAAGAGTTGATCATTACAAGAAAAACTACTTGAGGAATGTTTGTTTATACAAGTGTGCATTTGTCTCATACTACTCGTCTAGCAATTCTATAAAACTTTATGTTATTCTTTCGATTTTAGTCACCGTACAACTTAAATGATTCTATTGTTCGTTTACGTTTAAAAAATGGTGCTGCATTAGATCCAGATGATTTAATTTGTGATGTTGCTGATGATCGTGAAGAAGTAAAAGTAGAATTGTACTTTTACCAGTTTACATATTATAAATTATTTTATTATTTCAGTTATTAGCAATTATTGATTCATTAGTCGTTAATTCGAATGATCAACATCATACGATAAATAGTAATGGTGATGAAAATATATCATCTAGTTGGAGTAGTTCAAATTTATCTTCAAGTATATCTGAGCATGAGAAAATGATAACAACAACAATAAAGAATAATTCAAATGAAGTTATCGTAACTGATGCGGATTTACAAAGTGAGTTATATTATAAAATTATTTATTAACTATCAGTTAGTAGTTCATCATTTCTTTTTCTCTTATTATGCATGTTCTAAAATTAGAAAGCAGAATTTGAGTATAATAAATGATAAAATGATTAATCATTTTTGTAACTTTATCAAATGTTGATAATTTGTCAGTTTAATCCAAATGAACTAGTCAAGTTTCATAAGCGAAATTTATTAGAATCCTACCATAGGTTTTTTGTTGGCTTTTAATGTAAATAATGGTGAGTGGCGTGTATCGTTATCACTATGTGTGTGTTTTTAACTTTAAATGAAATTTGAACTATAAAAACCATTATTTTTCTCTCTCTCGTTCTTTCGTTTTATTCTTTTGTTTTTGTTATCCTATGGACAAGGAACCGCTTTTAACTATAAAAAAGAATGTAAACGTTTCTGACAAATGAGCGTATAATAATATTTGTGATGACTAATGATTGTCTTTATTTTATTAGTCATAGTTAATGTTCAATCGCTATACATTGTTAAATCCTTGAAAATGAAATGTATTGAATAAATAATAATGTAGGTAAAATATCAACTTGATGAGATTATTAAAATGGTGTTATGTGTTTTCCTTGGTAAATGTAATACAAGAATTGTACACATGTTATGTAAAAATATTTTTTTGTCCTTTACTTTTCCATATGGCCTTGAATGATGTCTGTTCACGTTGTCTATAATTAACCACAAAACAATGTTTTGATGAATAACTAACATCTATTCTTTTTCTTTACTCTTTTTAATATTTCATTTCTTTAATTATGTCAAATTTCAATCGAATATATAATAGAAATTTGCTTTTCTCATATAAATGTGTGTGTGTGTGTGCTGGCATGTATACTTCACAATTCAAATGTTTTGAAAACTCGAATGTATAATTTTCATAACGTATAGAATAATACATGCAGTTATACATAGTATGATGTTAAAAGAGATTTATTTTTTGTTCTTCTCTCTGTAAACACTGCTGAACTTTTGGATGTAGCAATCAATTTTTCTCTTTCTTTCTTTAACAATAGTGATATAAGAGAGAAAAACAAAATTCACCTGAAAATAATAGTCTAATGAATAGATATAGATATATGGGATAAAGAACGGAAACAATTAATTGCTGTTATCATAAAATATTAAAAATTAGTTTCATACAAAACTAGTGAGCATAATATTTGTATACATCATATTATTACGAGATTCTTAATATATTAATTAATATAACTTTCATCATGAATGTTATTTTCATTTTGCATATGTTTAGCTAGAAGTCAGACTGGCAAGTTTCTTCTTGGTTGACGTCATTTTCGTTTTCTAGCCATGACCACATTCATTTAACTTTGTTTTCTTTGGAAATATCATGCTTATTGGAATAAACAGTTCATAGTGACTATTTTCTAATTGAACTCGCTTTTAGTGGGCTTGGTTATTTTATAATTAAGAAGCGAAAAAGCGTTTAAGGTTAAACAACAACCTGACGATTGTTAAGAGGCGGCTGATCGCTCTCAACAATAAGCATCGATCCTTCGGTCCGATCCATTTATCGTCTTGTCCAATGGACTGTGTCGTACACAGATTAAAGGAATGAATCGGGTTTGAAAATGGAAAAGTACGAGAGAAATAAATACCGATATCTACTAAGTCAGTAATTCATATTTTTCTTCATTGACTGCTATGTCATATAGAGCACGAAACGGAGCAAGATATATTTAATAATAATAATTTTTAAAAATAGCCACTGTAAAACATTTAATTATAATTTATTTTTTACGATGTTTGCTATTTGCCCTCAAAAATAAGACTTACAAGGAAACGTTCTCAAGTGATTCATCCCGATTCGGCTGATATTTTGCTAATCGATAGAGCTCATTGGTCTAACAAAAATTCTAAGAAGGTTCCTGTCCATGGAGTTTCCTTTCTAAGTTATGACCAATTTAGCGATATTCTACTACTTAGTAGTGACAATGATAGTTCTAGATAGAGCCCCTATGCAGTAACAGTGTCAAACATTGGTCTTAGATTCTTCTTCATGTGGTTTCGGCACTATCTTGCGATCTACAAATTTAAGAAAAAATCAAATCGTCTAATTAAACAGTGCTAACAGTTAAAAAACATTCTAACAGAGATAACAAACGATTTTACGAATGTATGAATGCTTAAATAGGCTTAATAGTGAAAACAATTTTTTTCTCGTTTGTAGATCGCAAGACAGTGCCGAAACCACATGAAGAAGAATCTAAGACCAATGTTTGACATTGTTACTGCATAGGGTCTCTATCTAAAACTATCATTGTCACTACTAAGTAGTAGAATATCGCTAAATTGATCATAACTTAGAAAGGAAACTCCATGGACAGGAACCTTCTTAGAATTTTTGTTAGACCAATGAGCCCTATCGATTAGTATGTTTGATGATTCATTGGTATATCAGCCAAATCAGGTTGAATCACTTGAGAATGTTCCCTCATAAGTCTAACAGAATTTTTTCTCCGAATGTTTGATTCAGCTGCAACAAGGTGAGTGTGGTTAGTGACAAAGGCTAAAAAAGTTTTGTATTTTTTAATTATTTTAGAATAGATAGAATCGTAACATCGTACTCATTTAGTTATCTTTTCAAAATTCTTTCTGAAAGTTTTATGATCTTGGCTGAATGACTTCTTGTTCAATAAAACCCACATAAAGTGGCATAATTTCGCTTTGACGGAGGTATAATCTTATGTGTGTGTTTGTTTGCTAACATGCCGAGCTTCAGTTACAACTGAAGCTTTTGTAGATTGAAGTAAATTTTCTTTCGTTCAATTTGAGTATTTTCATCTGAGGATATTATAAGTTGTTCTTTGAAAAGTAAACATAATTACACGACATATATACACAAAGTAGAGATGTTACGTAAAAATAATTATTATGTTCGACGTTAGGACAAAAGAATATTGTAAAGTGTAGATGAAATTACATACGACACATGAACGTGTTGAGTATACAAGAGAGAGTGACTCTATTTAAAACAAGTGATTAAAGGAAAGAACGGGAAAATACGTATGATACAGTGTATAATATTATTTCCTTGTAAAATGAGACAAAAATACTATTTTCTTTTCGACTAATCTTTAACAAGTGTTACACAAATCTTTTTTTTATGTAATCGTAATTTTAAATTGAACTATTCATCCTTTTAATATCGAAAAAAAGAAGCTTTTGTTTATTCTGACAGATCGAAATTCTTTATGATCATGCTAAAGTAAATAGATAGCAATTAAACTCACTTTTAATATACAGATGTCATTGAATATTCATTGAAATTCAAAACCGATTTTTGTAACAGTAAATGACAGGTTAATTCTGTTATAGCAATCAGAAAATCTGATTAAAAAAAATACCTTTAATATAATACGTGAAATCATTGTGTTTTTTTAATAAGTGTTAATAAGAAACTTAACGAAACCTGGTAGTGTCCTTTGTAAATATAGTACTAACTTTTTCCATAGGCCGCGGCTATGCCATTGCATCTAACCGATATCAAATTCCCTTGGAGACTCAGGACTCGTACCCGGTGACTTCGAATAGTCTTGAAATCGTATGGAATGTAGATAATCGACAACGCTGAATCTTTCCGCAATGTTTGTTTTTGAAAACAAATCCAGAAACTTGGTGAAAGTTGAATTTTACGGAAACTAGCATTTTTAGACTATTTTTACCTAATCCTAAAAAAATTCATTATTCACTCAACAAACGTCAGAATGAGATAAAAACTCCAAGATGCACAGTATTTAGCGCATTGCAAATAATATTTATAAGAAAACTACAGAAAAGAATTATAGGACTCTATCGTTTTAAAAAAGAATTTCTAGAAATCCTATGAACAAACCCATAATTTTTGCAATTTTTCGATGGTATTATAAACTTTTATTGGACGTAATTATTCATATCATGAAATTTTTAACTGAAGTGTTTAAATGCAGCGCTTGAGATGTAAAAGAGAAGTCATAGCATACATTTTAATATTATATCATATTCTGTCTTCCATTAAAAAATACATTAGTGACGAGTAAAGTGTGCCAAAAAAGCCATATTTCTTGGCTATATATATTACTATATTGATAGCTATAATTGTTTAAAGAGTTTCTTGTTCATCTCAAGTTTATTCCTTTTTTTGGTTTAGCTCCAGCGTTAAGAGTGAAGAATGAACTTTGTGATCAGTCAGACTCTATTGTGACAGTAAGCTGTATTCTACCGATTGTTTATTATTTCATACCTTAATTGACTTTACTGTTTTAGGAATCTGATACGATACCTCAGCCGGATATGTTAAAGTATCCCAACAATGGACATCTAAGATCATCTGTCTCTAATACTTATAATTCACAAGAGAAGTTTTATGACAATTCATTGATTCATACTGTTTACTCTCCACCGACAACTGATTTAAAACTCTCTGCTGCTCCGTTACAATCATTTCTTACATCTACATTACCTTCTTCCTCATGTGCATTAAATAATAGTGGTGATAGCGGTAGAATCCACAGTATTCAAACTGATGAAAAAACTGGTGATAAATCATTTTGTATTTTACTGCCAAAAGACAATAGTCCGTTGGGCATTCATGTTATACCATATCATAGCAATAATAGTGCTCAAGAACCTATTGGCGGTTTAGTTTTACAAAATATTGAACCAGATGGCAGAATAAAGAAGCATGGATTTTTAAGTCTAAATGACAGAATCATCGAAATAAATCAAAGAAATATCGAAAAGTGCACATTTGACGAGTGAGTTTGTCTATGCATTTGTGTGTTTCGAATTTAAAACTATTATTTCCTGTTTGTAGAGCACAATTTATCTTTCATGATGCACTATCAAAGTCGGAATTAGAATTAAAAATTATTAGAAGTACCAAGAAATCATATCCAATACCGCCCAAATCAATAACAAATTCAATTCGTTTGAAAGACGAAGGTAAACGAAAATCAAAATTATTACTTACAGAAACAAAACCTAATCAGAGTAACAATAACGATTCAACAACATTAATATCCTGTACAGATAACGATAATAATATAAACGCGTTAAATACAAGAAAATTAGGAAGAATTATCAAAATTAAACTCGTAAAAGGTAAAAAATCTTTCTTGAGCAGAGGTTGACCGTTAACAAAAATTTTCATTGTTTTGGTTTTCTAGGTAATGATGGTCTTGGATTTAAATTGGCATCTCGTGATAATCCGACGGGTGCTGCTAATCCAATTTATGTGAAAAGTATATTTCCAAAAGGCGCCGCTATTGATGATGGCCGTTTACAGCGTGGAGATCGTCTATTAAAAGTAAATTTGATTGATGTTACAAATGTGAGTTTACAAGATACTGTCGGTCTATTGCGAGAAACTCGTATTGGTGAAACTGTTGAATTAATTATATCAAGACAACGTGACGGTTCATTGCCTCATGATCTGGTAACTTACGTTTTCACAAATAACAATTCAAATTCTATTTTTTTGATTTTTTCAATTGTTAGATTGTGGATCATCAAAATCTACAGCAATCACCAATATCATCATCAAAATCTCAGATATTTACATATGATATACCATTGAATGATACCTCTTCAGCTGGATTAGGCATCACACTTAAAGGAAAAACGTCTATCATAGACGGGCAATCGATTGATTTAGGAATCTATGTAAAAACCATTTTAATGGGTGGAGCCGCTTCAAGAGTAAGCAACAATTCTTCTTTTGAGACAAACAATTGGTATTTTTTATTATTAAGGACGGACGGCTTCTACCGAATGATCAATTATTGATAATTAATGAATCGTCGCTAATAAACACACCTAATTTAGAGGCAGCTGAAATATTGCATGATGCAGTCCGACATGAAATCATACCTGGTCATATCAAAGTGACAATATCACGCTCACAGCACGAACTCGTGGAAAATCGTGAGGATGAAAACACCAAGAACAAGGATTCGTATCAAATAATCAACACTAGTAAAAGCAGCAATGAGAATAATAAGGGTTGTATTAGAGAAACAGATTTGCCGTCTCTAACGTCATCAGCTGTTAATCAGCCATCTTTATCAACCGATATTAAATTGAATGAAAACGAATTAGACCTAACAGCATTTGTTCCATCGCTATTACATTCGTTTCGGTATATCAAACAATCACAACAACAACAATACACAGGTAAGGTTTTTTTTCTTTTACTTAGTTCTTTCTGAAATTGTTTTATCTCAAATACACGGAGGCGCAACGATATGATATTTTTTATCTATTTAAAAGCTCAATCGAATCGATCTGAATCAAATAAAGTAACAGAAATTGATAATCGCTCTTCTAGTCCACGGTCATCGTTTTCAACAGTTACTAATCGATCAAGTAGATCCCCATCAAAAAATACACCAAATTTTAATCAACAACAGTATCATCATCATGTTGTTTCAGACTATCCGCAACAACACCGAGGTATGACTGAATATTAGGCAAATGAAATTTTCATAAGATTCTCTTTCTGTCTATAATACTAGAACCAAAACTACCATCCAGTGTTTCCTCTAATGACTTTAAAATTCCCAGTATCCCAAACAACAATGATCGAATGCATGATAACAGTGAGAATGGTACTCAAAAGTAAGATGAAGTAATTTTATCGCTCCGCTGTTATTTAAAAATAATCCCCGTTTTTTTAGTAACAACCCATTCGAACGTGAAACGGCATTTCGTCAAAGTATATCTGAAAAACGTCGTCTTAGTCATCAACCGAATCAACAGGCATTACACTGGAAACAACGTTCATTTCATGAGACTCACCAAGGAGACAGAAGTAAGCATTGCTCGAGATACATCGCTTGAAATTAATGCTTGCAGTATACTATTAGATATGATTTAAGCAATGTTCAAGATTTTACTAACAGCCTTACGTTTACAAAGAGCAGTTACCTTTAGGCTACTGTCTTGTATGAATTATCTGTTTTTTGATGATCTAAAAACCACCATTTTCTCTTCTCTCTGTTATTTTTTGAGAACAAGCAACGCGTGTATTACCTATAACACCACCAAGTACTAACAATGGTGTTGGTGGTTTAGCCCGTGCAAACTCCTTGGAAAGTATTCACACATTAGTTAAAAATGAACAACAAATTAGAAAAAATAATTTAACAACCTCTGACGACGAATATAAACGTCAAGCACATCTTCGTAGTCGTGCGTGCAACGAGAGTTTTCGTCAAGCCGTGGATAAATCATATGGTAATCCTTTAGAAGATGGTAGGTACAATGAATATGTATAATATTGTTTTAATTATCGTTTTCTCTAATTAGAATCTCCTACCGAATCAATTGATCACGATAAATCGAACAAAGATAAACAACGTTTTCGTTTTACAAATCTTTTCTTACGGCAAGTATATGTGTTTGCTATTGAATGGCATCATAGAAAAGTGCAGAAGTCATTTTGGTTTCTTTCGAGGTCTATCCCTGGTACTGTGGTCCCATCTCTCCCCAAGATGATAAAAAGGCGTCCCATGATCATCTATTCTCAGTATCTCGCACGGTTTATTTAATATGTCTTTGTTTTATTTATTTAAGAACAAAGAGAAAAGACAAAACTGAAAAAACAAATTCAAATGTTGATCTATTGCATGAGCCTCGATCTGCTGAAGAGGAAAGGTAAAAAAAGACAATGTTGAGCCTGAAACTCAGTTTCTTGAACAATTATTTCCCTTAGATCAAATCCGCTTCCTTGTCAACAAAATTTATTGCCAAAACATCCTATGGCTTTTCCAGTCACCTCCTCAAATGACGAGAATCAAATTACGCCATCTTTTCTCCCTCCACCAGCACCATTTAGTACAAGACAAGATTCGACATCAACATTGTCTTCAAAAACAAAAATAGTAAGCAAAGTGATTGTTCAAAGTTTTACTGACACAGTTACGAAAGGAAAAAGAATTTATCGTAGTAATGAGTATTTTCAGTACGATCTATTACGTTGTTGGTAGCACGATCTATATCGCAATCTATCTCGTGCTACCTAATAGATCTTACTGGAACAACATCGTCAAGAAGAAACGTTCAAACAATTGTACGAACATGATCGTTGTTCAAGAGAATTAAGCATTCCCAGCTGAAAAAGATCATAAAAAGTAATTACATTTACGAGATTTAGTTGAAAAATTACAAAATAAAAGGATAATATATGAATAAAGGTCGGATGTAATGATGTTAATTGTCTTAATATTGAGTACTTTAATATTTTCCAAATAATAGATGCTGCAATCAGGATAGCATTTTTACAACAATTTTCTTTGCATAATTATAGTCGGATACTACTTTACACGATCGATCGATGAATCTTTCATATCCTATCTCTTCATTCGAAATAAAACCGTTAACAACATTCGAAAATTTACACCAACTACAACAATTGTCTACATCGAATAATATAATATCGGATCGAAATAAGACAGTATCGTCAGGTTATGAGCCTTATCGTTTTGATAATCAATGTCAAATAATATCACAGCAGCATGTTAATCTTGTTGATCATTTTTCTCCGCCTGCTTGTTCCAATGAAAAGTCAAACAATACGGTGATAACAACAGCATTAGATTTTAATCCAAAAAGCAATGCATTACTACCACAACGTGATACCTTGAATCAATGTTCAAAGAGTGCCGTACAACCACCACTAAAAAAAATATCATCGTCCTATCATAATATTGATAATCAGGATAATATACCATATCGTCCATCACCACAATTTGCTTCGTTAACATTGTCGTCAGTCGGACAAAAACATCAACAACATCTACCATTACCCATTCAATTTCAAAATGGTACACAATCATTGCGTCACCCAGTATCTACTCATGCCCATCATCGGTCAATACAATCTATTTATTACAATAATAATAGAAATCAGCACAATGTGAAATCTGCCTATCCATCGACATTCACTGTTCAACCAATTCATTATACATCTTATAGTCATAATATCGATCAACAACAACAGCAAACACCTAAATGTACGTTCATCATGCTACCTCCTCATTATTTACGTTCTACAGCATTGCACGAAAATCCGGCTAATGTTTAATTGAATATATTCTATGTGTTGATAATTTTGAATTTTTTTATGTATTTATTACGAAATTTCTCTTTACACATGAAAGTACCTTTTTTGACTCTTATATGTTATTTTGTGAACTTGTTTGTCTATTTTGAACATACGGTGATTCATTTTGCTAAAAATACTGTGTACATGGTGGGTATTGGTTTGTCTTCTTGCCGTCGTCGTTATTTTAGAGTGTGGGTTTTTCGCCCATATTGAACTGATAATCGTTTTTCCTTTTTTTTAATATTATTCTGTGAACAAATGATATCGACTGTTTTTATTCTCTATTACATGTATGAGGATCTAGCTCCGAACTTTTATTGCGTAACCTGAACCATCGTTTGTCTTACTCCGTTTCATCGAGACATATCGACGATTTTATTTTATTATTCTCTCTCTCTCATTTTTGTGGTAGTGCGACGTCTCTTATGTTTCCACTGTCAGATACTAGAGTGTTGTTACTTGTAACTTTTGTATGCAGCTTGTATACAAAATGACTCCTGTATTTTTAATCGGAAGTATGGATGAATTACTGAAAAACCATACCTTGTGTATTTCTTTTTTTACGTTGTTGTTAAAATTTTTTTACAAAAAATAAAATGGACTATGTGAACGCAGCAATACACGCTAAATAATTTTGAATTTAATATGGAAAAGGTCCTGAGTTAATGATAAATTAGAATGCGTAGAACCTTCAAATTCAAATTTTCCTTACAGGAAAATTGTGACATGTTACAAGTTATTCTTAAAAAATACATTATATTCTCTTCGATAAATAATTGTAGCTGTGAAATGACGCGAAGGTAAATTAAACGATATACGTAGGGCGTTCAAAAAGTTCTCGGACTGATTTTATTTTAAAAAGTGAAAGACTTTACACTATTGGACTTGTTGCCCGTTTATAACTGGGTCCGTAATGCTCTTCTTTTCCTCTGCTTTCCTCTTTAATCCAAGACCTCTCCTCTTTCTCCTCTTTTTGAGTTAATTTTCCTCTTTTTCTGGAATCTTTTAGCAAAAATACCAGAATTCTAAATTTAAATTTTTTTATCAATGCCGTCATATAACAAAATTCAATCACTCGTGGTAACAGAAAACAATAGATGAAGTCCCTATGAGACGATAGTTAAAGCAAGGTGCTAAGGAATCAACATTCGCATGTACATTGTGTAAAACGGGCGAATTAGATTGTGGGAACAAAGGGTGGTAGTTGATAATGGTTATAACAGTTTATAATAGTTAGTTATAACAGTTTATATCTTTTTTCTATCTCTGAGTAAGAAATACAGATGCCTTCTTTTTTTGGTTCTGTGGAATTAGAATACCCTTAACCGTATTTTACAGTGCCATTTTGGTATTTCAGTGTACTGTTTTGATTTTGTAAGATTTCTTTTAGAGTATTTATAATTTCACAAAAACCAAAAAAAAGAGGGTATCTGCATTTGTTACTTAGAGATTGAAAAAAGTATATCACGATATGGACATACCCTTCTTTGGTTCTTTTTCTTTTTAGAGAGTAGTTTTATATGTCGAACAGCATGTGTACTTTGGGGCTATCGATCCCGGAGTATCTAACGTTAAGACTTATGAATAGTCTATAAAACTTCGCTATATTGATTAAGTCACTTTAACAAATCAAATTGATCATTCGTTTGTTAATTTGCGAAAGAGGGATGGCAGAGTTCCTACGGTTCTAGAATTCTACTCCTATACAGCAGAATTGAATATGGATCCAGCAGAATTGAACAATGATGTCTACGTACTTCTAAACATTCAATTCTATTACGATCTAAGTACAATTCTATTCCAGTTCTGCTGTAAAAATATTCAATTCTGTTTAACTTGATTCGTCTACTTACTTTTCCAATGATGAGACAGAATTGAATGTTTAAAAGTATGTAGACCGATCAAGTTAAGCAGAATTGAATATTTTTACAGCAGAATTGAAATAGAATTGTAGAAATAGATTGAAATAGAATCTTTATCCAATTATATAGAATTGAAGAATGATAAGATAGAACTGAATGTTCAGAAGTACGTAGACCGACCAAGTTAAGTAGAATTGAATATTTTCACAGCAGAATTGAAATAGAATTGAACTTAGTTCCAGCAGAATTGAAGAACGCTGTCTACGTGCTTCTAAACATTCAATTCTATTACGATCCAAGTACAATTCAATAGAATTGAACTTAGCTCCAGCAATTGAAATAGAATTGGATAAAGGTCCTGAGTTGATGAGAAATTAAAGTTCAATTCTATTTCAATTCTGCTGTGAAAATATTCAATTCTGCTTAACATGGTCGGTCTACGTATTTCTAAATATTCAATTCTGTCTCATCATTGGAAAAGTAAGTAGACGAATCAAGTTAAGCAGAACTGAATATTTTTACAGCAGAATTGGAATAGAATTGTACTTAGATCGTAATAGAATTGAATATTTAGAAGCACGTAGACATCATTGTTCAATTCTGCTGTATAGCAGTAGAATTCTGAAATTGTAGGAACTCTGCCACTGCTGCTGCCAAGTACGGCTTAATTACAGAAGCAACTCCTAATTTCTGCTTTTTGTCGTATTATTATCCTGCTGATGACCTGAGTGATCAACAATCTCTCTCTTCATCATAAGAGGTACACTCGTTGCTGACTATACTTACACAAAAGCATGGGTCTATGTTTTCGTCGAAAATTATTACGAATTTTGAATGTGATCCTCCTTTGTATAATCCTTTTCAATAAAACGAATATAACTAAATAAATATACATCACTCATACTTTGATATTTTTAATATCAATAAAAAATCGTCTCTTCTACCGCCACTCTTTTTCTCGGTAGAAAATATTTACGGCGATTAACTTGCGATTAACATAGATCGAACTAGCCTTAAAGTTATCCCTTTATCGTCGCCTTGTTGGCAAAGGTGGAAGCGATAGTTCGGGTGAGTCCAAATTTATGGTCGGCCAAGTGATCCGGACCCCCTCAAACGTCTTTTTGTTTTTTCAACTTTTCCTTTTTGAGTGAGAAAAAAACAACATATCTTATGGTAAAGTATGACTTTTGATTTCCTATAGCTCGGACATCAGAAACTGAAAAACAAAGATTTAAGCTATGAAGTATCGTTCCAGATAACTGTGGTAAAATTTCTGGCCCGAATGGATGAGGTTTCGATGGGATTGAAGTGTACTGTAGTTTGAACTATAGTGTTCTGAGCCTTATAGGTAACATGGGACACTTGTTTCACAGCATTTACGGTAATACTCGCATCGCGAAAAACATTGGAAAGTTTAGGAGACCTTTGATTGTAAAAAGAATACTCTGCCCTATATGATTATGTATGCGAAGAAATTTTAAAGGCATTGAAAAAGAGAAAAAAGTTGATAAAACTGAAAAAATTGAGTTTTTTAGGAAAAACGATACCAAAAACGCCAAATAAATCCGTTTGTCTTGAATCCTCGGGACAGGTTTATTCTCTAGCCATTACTACTCTCTTAAAAAAATAGGTTTATTACGAAACCTAAAAGGGTATAGAAAAGTGCACCATTTTGAAACTGTTTTAGATTTCGTATGAATCCCTTTTGGGTTTCGTACGTCGACTACGAAACCTTTATGTTCGCCTAGAAGTATAAAATTTTCAAAAAAATATGGCACTTTTGATGGCAAATGACAGTGCCGTACTGACATTTGGCAGCGTCGTATAGAACTTATTTAGTAATTAACTAGCTTTTTATAGTTGCTTTTACTTCATTTTGTATTAATTAAAGTGCGATACTGATCGGTGTCGGTCCCACATTATCTTGCCACAATCATTTGCCGTTTCTCTCATGAGAAGCAAGACATAGTCAAAGAGACATCTGAAATATTGCAAGTATACTATAATGTGCACATTGATGCACACTATCATCCGAAAAGAAGTACTTGATGACAATTGAGTTTATTTTTCTAGTAAGATTTTCTTTCCTTGAATCTGCGTTTAACCTTAGTCTTGATTCATCCAATACTTAATTTAGACTTAATACGAGAAAATAGCACTTTAGCTAGCCGATTTTAAGTTTTAACCGAACTGCTAGGTATGCTTCTTCAACGGGAGTTAGCCGATAGCCATCGCTGCATTTTACCGCCCAATAAAGTGCTTATCTTGCTTAGCTCAAAATTTATTCATGTTTTAATGATGAAAAAAGTAAAGTAGTATGTCTCAAGAAATATACAGCCAAACAGATTGGAACCTGCTAGGTGATCAGTATGAGATCAAAATAGTATATCCAGGCAAAAGCTACCATGGTTCTTGGAGTAAAAGGTGATGTGATACATTTATCCACTACTGTAGCAGCAGGAAACATTAAATGAAGTGATCTTCAGTGACAATGATTGTTTGACGTGAATCATAAACTCATCGTATTATTATAACGCAGAGTATTCGATTATCTTTATGAACGGTGACTTTTCTACAAAGTTTAATTATTTTTTCTGTTCTTTTTGTTTTGAGGTATTATTCGTTAAACATTATTTTGCTTCAATACAAGAAAACAAAATTATACTATTTGATCTGAACTTCAATTCTAAAATGTTAAATATAATATATAATGGCTTAGAAGATCTATACTAGACAAAATAAAAAATACTCAATAATAAAGAAAGTAGATATAACGTAAAGAAAACAATATTTTGAACAAAACTAAATGTTATAAACGATGTCACAGAAAATTAACTTTACTAGAAAAAATAAATGCTAGTTTAGATGATTGTTGAAAATACAAGAATTTGATCAAAACTGAATGTTTGTTGTCTGATATGATGGTTAGTTTGGGTACAACGAATGATTTGCATATATCGTCTACGATAAGATGAGTTTATTAGCATTAATGCAAATATGTTGGTCTTTGTTTCATTGTGCATTTAATAACATACATACATACATACATACACACATAGAAACAAAAAAAGAAAGATAAATGATCTTGAATAGTATGTAAATCCTTCCATCAGCTGT